CTTTCACATCAGCTAATGGCATCGAGCATGCGCCACTGAGTAACATCTACACAGCCCCTTGTGGTTCTACCAATAAAGTCCCAGAAAGTAAGGTAACACTGGGCTGCATCCTATTGTTTTCCTCATTGTACAAGAGATTCTTCTACTGTTTTAAATTAATCTTCTACAACAACCATAGGTTGAAAAATAATATCAAACAGTGAAAAAAGATAAGAGATCAATACAAAATGAGCGAATGCACAAAGAGGTTAGGAGACCAGTTAGTTACAAGACAGGTAACAGTCCAGGCAGGAAACCATGCAGTATTACACTAAGGCACAAACTGTTTGTTTTGGTAATGGAGACTGAACCCAGGGCCTTGACATTCAGCTACATTCCCATCTTTTTTTCATTCTGTATTTTGAGACAGCTTGTGGCTAAGCTGCTAAATTGTTCAGACGAGGCTTGACCTTTGGATCTTCCTGCCTCAGCCTCGTAGCATACTGAGATTACAGGCCCGTGACTCTGTGCCCAGCTGAAAAATTTTACTTTAGAAACAGCATTGAAAAAGAGGATAAAAAGAACTCAATGAATCTTACAGTAATTCTTAAAACGAAGCTATGGTTTAAAACTAAATACTGACTACATACCCTCGAGAACCCGAGAGCACAGGCAGCCCTTAAAGTTGCCCTGTTTGGAGCCCAACCATCTGGATGGTGTGTGCATTTATTGACGTTGCTACCTCCCTTCCCTGTGAGACAGAGACTCTCATACAGCAGCCGATGAATGGACGTTTCTTCTGGTTTATTTGGTGGCAGGGCTGGCCATGGGCCAATAGTTCAGTTTTGGCACTAGCATCATCTTTGTCATTATCCTAGAAATTATTCATTCATTTACTCAAATGTTTTTGCAAATTTTCACTCCCCCCCCCAAAAAAAAAGAATGGAAAAATTCAAAGCCTAATAGTAATCAAAAGAAATATTTTTCTGGTAAACTTCATTTAAATCATACAAAAATGGAAGCTATTAGATATCAAAATTGGCAAATCTTTAGTCTGAATCACACATTTATTGAATTTGAATAGATCAGCTATTGTTTAAATGAGAAGGAAATACCTGTCCTTATAGAAAGCTAAAGAAAGAAAAATTCAAGGCGTATACACTGGCTGCCATGCCTAAGTGGCAAAGAACTAGTGGAGGTTTTGCAATGTAGTTGACTTTCTGGAGCCAGCACCTCATGTGACACATGGCCTCTCCATGATCTTCAGGTGTACTTTCAGAAATTCATCCTTTCAGGAAAGTAAGAAGCACAGCGCTCAACCAGTCACCAAGTTCTGTTCAAATACAAGAATGTTTTAGGAACTGGAAAGCAACGAGAGCAAAGCTGGTTATTTTTATTGGCACTGCCGCTTCCATTCCAGTGCCCTCACACTTGGAACCACAAGCGCCCTAAGGTACAGGCACAGCTCTTTCATCATGGTTCCTGTGATAATACTGAACAAGTACTATTAATTCGGTGGTATTTGGTGTTTCAGAGCCCACCTGGAATGATCCATCCTGCCTTTTTTCCACTCCAGGCTATAAGTACTGTAGAGCAATGGTGGCAAACCTAGGTGGCACCCGTGTTATTTGTTTTGCTTTTAAGACAGAAGAGGTTAATATATGAGTTGTCCTTTCTAAACTAAAACCTCAACGTTCAGGTTTAATTGCAGTGCCGGCACTTTGCGATAAATAAATGGGTTTGGGGTTATAGTTTGGACATTTGTCTCTAAAAGGTTTGCCATCGCTGTTGTAGAGCATATGCAACCAAATAACAATTTCTCTAGTGGCTTCTCCACAACTCTCAATAGCTGCATAGTGACTGCCCCTAACACTCTGTGCATTGAAAAAAATAAACTATTGTTCCTTCATTCATTTTTTCCCCACACTCTCTGGGAATTTATGATGTAACTACTACATGCCAGCCATTTCAGTAAGGGCTTCCAATAAAGGAGAAAAGAGGGTCAAAGTTCTAGCAGAGGGAATGGCGTACACAACTGGGTCACGCAGAAGTGAAAGGGCACGATACTTTTGGGGACAGTAACAGGATGAGCATTTGTGGAGGCCGAAGGGGAAGAGGAAGTAAGGAACAATCCACAGAGTATCATGAGAAAGAGGACTGGCTTTAGGCCATAAGCCAAAGTTTTCCAAATGTGACCTGAGTTCCACCTCTAGAAGGTGCACTTGGAAAGTGCTCACCATGCAGACTTCTGGTCCTTGCAGATGAAGCGCTGGATCTGAATTTTCAACAAATATGTTCAGCAAATAGAGATCTGCCAAAAGTCTTTAAACAAGGAAATGCCACGATTGGATTTATAGTCTAGAAATAGGCTATCACTAAGCAGACAATGGAGAACAAGGCAAATTCACTGCTGCTAAATGAGCACGTGACTTGGCTTTGCACTAGAACCACCTGGGGACTTGTAAAAATGCAGACTTCACACCTCATCCAAGACTTACCGCATCTGAGCCAAGATGGAAGGGGCTAGGACTTATATTAGGTTGAACCATATAAACTGCCACTTTTAGGTTAAAAAGTAGTGAAGTACTAGCAATTTATTCTATTTCAATCTGGTATTTTTAACAAACATCCCCCATGCCTCTGGACTGCACCAAAATTTGAAAAGAGCTGATGAAGTACAAGTAGAGTAAATGCTTTTCTCTTTTGAGTAATTATTGCTATCATTACTTACACTGATTAATGCACAAAGATGGAAGTCTCATGATTTACGTACCTAAAACAAATGTTAAAAGAAAAAAGGGGAGCTCAAAAACAGCCACCAGTGAGGTAAGACAACCAATTTCAGGGGTTTTGAGTCAGAAGGAACACAAAGGATCATCCAGCTTTCCCCTCATCTTCCAGTACAGGTCCACACACGAGGAAACTCATGCCTAAATGGAGAAGCAAGATGCCTGAGGTCGTGCTGAATATTTTATTCAATTCTTCCACAACGTGTGCTTTTACTTGCCTTTCAACAGGTACCCAAATCACTGTAGCTAAAGTGGCTGAGATCTAATTTATAGGGTACAAGCGTCAGGTGAAGGACACCCTGACACGCCTGAAATGAAGCAGGGTAGTGACAAAGCAGATGCTTCTGCATCTCATTTGTAAAATATAACCAGAGAACTTCAATAATACAAAAGCTAGAACAGTTTGAAATGTCATAGATGCTTAATAAATATTTATGAACGAATGGTTGGCCTCTAAAAGTAAGTTAAAGGATGTATATTAAGGCAAAGTGTTTACAAAGAAGTCGCTTGTGAACTCGGTATAGATTTCCAAACTTATACCCTGTTCCAAGCACTCTTTTGTACTCAGTCAGCGCCACGCCTACAAATCCCAGCCCGGCCACAGGCACTTTTTTCCTCCACTGACTGTGTCCAAGCGAAACAATATAAAGATCACATCTGAGCTAAGTTTAACAATTCATCATGTATGAAGCTCACTCATGAGCGATCTTCAAAACCCACCCAAACAGGAATAAACTGACAGCGATAGCTAATAAAAGTCACACTACACCAATGCAACAGTTTACCACTAGCTCCACCATCAAATCATAGTTATAACCAGTACTTGCCTACTGTGTGGCAGGTCAGAGCTTCGTGTACATGGGTACATTTAAATCCTCTTAGCAACGCTCCAAGATGAGCACTATTACCAGGCTGATTTTATAGATGGGGATAAAAAATTTAAATAACACAAAACCACAGCTGGAAAGCAGCAGAGTGCCGAGTTGAACCAGGTGTCCTGACACCCAGCACTTATCAACAGACTCTTTGACCTCTCCGCGGCAAGAGACAAAGCAGCCCGCCGGCTGACATCTTGGGGGCACTCACACTGGGAAGGACGCACTTCTGCAGAGCGCCGTTTGGCTTCTTTTCATCCACAAGGTCTGAAGCATTTCCATTTCGGAAGACCATGCATAAAATGAGACCCCAGATGCAATGAAGCGAAGCAAGGAGAACCAGAAGGATTGTCATTCTTGCCCTGGCACACAGCACAGTTATTACTACTGGAGAGCAGCAAGAGCAGCCAATTTGGGCTAATAAAATTTGACTTCCACTGAAGTATGTGGGTCTTCTTCTCATGTGAGGATATTTTGGGGGGTACCAGGGATTGAACTCCAATCCTTGTGCTTGTGAGGCAGGCGGTGGAACCACTGAGCTAAATCCCTGGCCCTGAGGATATTTTTGAAAGCCATGAAACTATCACCATATTTTATTTATTCAGTGGTATCACTAAGGAAAATACTTTCAGAAAGGAAAATAAAGACAAAATACTTTCCTAAACCAGGCCAAAAAGCCCTAAATAAAAGGAATTTAGGAGAAACTAACACGTGAGATGAATCTTTCTTAAGTACGGCTTGGAGAACTGTCCCTTCCACTTTCCCAGAGGAATCAAGCATTCTGACAAGGACCCTCTAAGTCTAAACCACCCAGCCTGTAGCCCTGGCACCCCTAAAGAATGCTAAGGATGTAGTAAAGGGGGAGTGTGCACGCCTGAGGAGTTAACTGCACATGCTGAATATCAAATGCTAGAGAAAGAAAAGTTTAGAAAACAAGTCAAGATCCCAGAGAAGTAAAGCAGAGCGGAAAGGAAGGACCCAGCTGAAACTGCTTTTCATTCTCGGACTCCCCCCAAATCTTCCGACCTCCAGCTACCGCACAGTTCAATATCGAACAAATACTGCACAGGCGAGGCAACGCAAGAGTAGAAATTGAGGTTGTATAGTGGGGGTGTCTTTCTAGAAAATATACTGCAAGAATTCCTTACACGGTCCCAAGTAACATAAGCAAACACAAAGGATAACATTAACCCTACGAGACACCCACAAACAGTCCAGACTGAGCCCGTCTCGCCCCACCTTCCCCCGCACCCAAAGTCCCTGCCCAAGGGATCCAAGCGCCCCTCCGGGCGTGAGAAGCCCGGCAGCGTCCGGCCAGGTTCAGCGGCCCCCAGAGTTGCGTTTGTCCAACTCTTACCCAGATCCAGAGATCTTGAACTTCAACGAAACCGTGTCTTCCCCAAACGCCAGCCAAGACAGAAAGTCCTTCCTAACAGCGCGGTTAGCCTCCAAGCAGCCTCCCGAGGAGGGCACTTGTGAGTCCGCTCGGGAGATGGGGGCGGGAAAGGGCAGGTCGCACGCGTCACCCCTCTTCCAGTCTTGCGCCCCAGGATGGTAAGTGCTGCAGAGTCAAACAAGGCTTTCCCTGTGTGACCCGCGATGCCGTAAGACGAGGAGAGTAACCAGAGTCCGGCCGGGGTGCAAGCAGTGGCCTTGCCGTGGACGCGGGCAGAGGCGGCCGGCAGA